CAGGTCCTGCAGCCCCAAACCAGCCCAGCACACCACGGCCACCCCTGCGGGCACCCACCTGCCCCCACGGCTCCGAAAAAGCCCCAGAGCAGCCCCCCCAGCACCCAGCAGCAGGACAACCACCCCAACCACCTCCATCTGCCCCAGCCCAGCACCAGGACTGCCCCAGAGCCTTCCTGCACCTCCTGCCACCAGCCCCCAGGCTTCCTCCTGCCTCCTTTTAGCACTGCGCCAGCCCCGAGCCCTTCTCTGCTGCGCCCTCACAGCACCACGAAGAGCAGAGGAGCGAGGAACACCTCGAATTATGCCTTTAAGCAAAGCCTCCGAGCTTTCCTTAAGCCGCGCCAGGTGCAGAACACCCCAAAGGCACCAGGAGCCCCCTCCACGCGAGGCTGCAGATGCTGAACCGCCTGCAGTCAGCAGGGACGGGTTTGGTGCAGAGCAGACGGCCAGGAACACGCAGGCTTCGGGGACAGACCGCAGCGATCCGACACAGCCCAGCTCAGCACCCTCCCCCCAGCACAGGGGCTGCAGCAGGGGCACGTCCCAAAGAGCCACCCCAGGGGAATTGGGGTCTCTGCCAGCCCCACCAGGACCCCAGTGGCAGCAGTGTCCAGGGGTTCCCCCTCCAGGCACCGACACGGAGCAGTCGGCTCCCAGAGCTCAGGGGGGATTTGGATCCCGTGCCCTGGGGCTGGCCGGGATGGGGGAGCGCAGGCACGGGGCCAGCGCCGTCCCCAGGCTGTCGGATTACGCCATTGTAGGGCATCTCAGCTTCCAGCCGCATGCTGCCTAATTTATGGTTTAATTAATAAATGAGGAATTATGCTGAGTTTATCCAATACTTCTGGACGCGCGGTGTTATCAAAATCCCATTACAGATGAAGGAAGGCATGAAGAGCAAAATTAGCTTTGGCATCTGAAACATCTCAGTCGATGCGATAACACAATTATTAGGGCTAATAATCAAAGAGCACTTAGGGGAACGCCAGCTCCTGCGGGAGCTGAGCCCGGGGCAGCCGCAGCCCCAGCCCGGGGCGAGCCAGGGACCAGCAGGGTTTTCACCCAGGCGGGCAAATCCATCGGCAGCCAAGGGCAAAAGCACTTGGCCAGACTCCACCGAGCGGCGGCCAGCGGCTCTGGGCACGGGGACGAGGCGCAGCATCACCGCGCACAGCGGGCAGCGCCGCGCTCCACTGCCGGCGTTAGGGACAGCAGGAAAAAAAATGAAAGAGTTGAAAACCAGCAGGCACTCGGCCCCGTCTATTTGCTTTGGGCACTGATCCTGCTCGAGGACATCCCACCTCCCTGCTCGCAGCTTCCCTGCGCAGCCGGGAGAAGGAGAAACTCGAGTAATAATTAGGAGCTGCAGTCATCCAGCTCCTGGGGCTGGGCCCTTGCCAGCAGCACCGCCAGCCCGCGGAGCGCCCGCTCCCACCCTGCTGGGGTGGGCAGGAGCTCGCTGCGCTCCGCTGGCCCTCGGTGACCGTCCCGCAGGGACCGAACTCAGCAGCGGGCTGGCAGCCCTCGGTATTTTTACGTCCCCCCCCCTCGTGCCATGGCTCTGTGCGGTGTCGGTGCTGCGGGGCAGAGGGGCGCAGAGGAGCTGCCCCAGGAGATGCAGTGCAGCAGACACCAGCTGGGCACCGAGGGACCCGTCCCTGCCCCGTGGGAGCTGGGGGCTTGGAGATCCCCGCGAGGGGACCCCAACGCTTGCCCCAGGGGCCGTGATGGGGCAAGGTCAGCCCCACTCCTGTGCCTCGCTGCTTGTGAGAAGGGGACAGCACGTGGGGATAGAGGGTTTGGGGGGTTTTATGGGATCGTGCTGTCCCTGAGCAGCACGGGTGATGTCCCGCTGCCACTGCCGGGCTCAATGACCTTGGGTGCATCACCTCCCTCAGCGCCCCACACTCCCCGAGCACCGCAACCCGGTGAGCCGCTCAGCTTCCCTCCAACACCCTCCGGCCACAAGCACCGAAGTGCCACCGAGGCGAGGACCCCGGCCACCCTGAGGGGACCCCAGCAGCCCCAGCAGCCCGCAGCAGCGCGGCCGAGGCGCTGCGCTAGCGAGGAATAATGCAGCAGGCAGGAGACGACGCCTGCCGGTCGCCGTGCAGCATGCACAGGAGGGAAATATCTGCAGCAGCACCTGGGCGCGCGAGCAGCCGGAGCCCTCGCGCGAGGGCTGAAGTTTGGCTGCTGCAGAGGGGCAAGGGGGGGGGAGCCTGGCAGCGCCCTGCAGCGGGTGGCAGCCTGCAGAGGGTGGCATCACGGAGCGGGTGGCATCACGGAGAGGGTGACATCCTGGAGAGGGTGGCATCTTGGAGAGGGTGACATCCCGCAGCGGGTGACATCCCGCAGCAGCACCTGCCCAGCTCACCCGGAGGCCAGGCGGGTGCTGCACCGCGCTGCCCGCAGCGCACGGGGGACCCGCAGAGGTGCCCAAGCCCCGGGGCACGGCTGAGGACCGCACGGCGACGCGTGGCACAGGCTTGTGTGTGTGTGTCCCCCCCCCCTGCACCACAGTCACCTTGCAAAACTGCCTTTCCCCTGCGCAATTGGCAGAGCTCTTTTGGGATCGCGCCCGGCCCTCTGAAAGTAGGCTGCAGGGGGGCACCGGGGGCAGGACGCGGGCGCAAAGGCTGCGTTTGGGTACCCCGGAGCTGCTGCGCCCCGGCACCGCTGCACCCCACCGGTAAAGGGGGGGCACAGGGGATGCCCGGAGGCTGCTGCAGCCCCGGGAAGGGACCCGCTGGAGCTGGCTGGGGGCCAGGACGCGGTGCAGAGCCCCCCCACCCCCCACCCCCAGGAGCGGCCGGTCCAGCACCGCACCGCGGCTGCGGCTCCGGGGTCGGCACCGGGACCGGGACCCCCGAGGGCACCCGCGGGGACGCGGGGTTGGAGCATCGCGGGTGGCACCGCTGCGTCCCGGGGCACCGAAACGCGGGGGGATCCCGCACCTCCAGGGGGTGTCCCGCATGCCGGGGGAGGGGGCCGCGTCCCTAATGGGGGTCCCGCATCCCGAGGGGGGGCGTCCCGCGGTCCGGGAGGGGTCCCGTGCGCCCGGGAAGGGGTCCCGCATCCTGAGAGGGGGGGGTCCCGCATCCCCGGCTGGGGATCCCGCATCCCGGGGGGGGTCCCGCATCCCCGAATGGGGTCCCTTATCCCCGGGGGGGGTCCTCATCCCCCGGGGGGGCTTCCCGCACCCCGGGGGATGTCCCCGCACCCCGGGGGGGGTTCCCTCCATCCCTCCCCCCCCAGACAGCCCAGCCGGGCGCGCAGCACCCCAAGGGCACCCCGGGGCACCGGGCAGCCCCCAGCCTCCTCCGTCCCCCCGGGGTGGTCCCACCGCCCCCCCCAGCCATCACCGTGCGCCCAGCCCGGTCCCGACCCCCGACCCCCGCCCCGCCCCGCAGCCGTCCCGCTGCGGCACCGGGGGCACCGGGGAGAGACTCGGGGGGGCGAGCACTTACCGGGGGGGGTCGCGGGCCGGGGGTCGCGGGGCCGGGGGGTGCGGGCCGGGGCCGGTGGGTGCGGGACGGGCGCTGCGGCAGCCCCGGCCCCTCCGGGCTCGCGTGCGGCGGCTCCGCCTGGCCCCGCCCCCTGCCTCTTAGCCCCGCCCCCTGTGGTTAAGCCCCGCCCACCTGCCCGCATCAGGCCCCGCCCCCTATTGATAAGCCCCGCCCCCTTTCGGCTCGCCCCCGCGCTCCGCAAGGGGGGCGCCGGCAACGGGAGTCCCCTATGGGGGTGTCCTATGGGGCAGGGGGTTATATGGGGGTGCTGGGACCTATAGGGGTGGTGCAGTGCCTATAGGGGATGTGCTGCTCCTTATAGGGGGTCCTGTGGCTATATGGGGGGGTGCTGTGGTTATATAGGGTGTGCTGTGCCTATAGGGGATGGTGTGCCTATGGGGGTGCTGTACCTATAGGGGATGTGCTGTGCCTATAGGGGTTGTGCAGTGCCTATATGAGTGGGGCTGTGCCTATAGGGGATGGTGTGCCTGTAGGGGGTGGTGCTGTGCCTATAGGGGATGTACTGTTCCTTATAGGGGGTCCTGTGCCTATATGGGGTGTGCTGTGCCTATAGGGGGTGGTACTGTGGCTATAGGGGTGCTGTGCCTATAGGGGTGCTGCAGTGCCTATAAGGGTGCTAGTCCTATAGGGGTGGTGCTGTGCCTATAGGGTCAGGGGGTGTGGGACAGACGGGACCACCAGGGCCACCAGGACACCAGGCACCAGCAAGCCCAGGAGCTGCTCAGCTCCGCTCCAGCCCTGCGGGTGCGTGGCTGAGCCACCCCGGGCACCCAGCCCACCGACCCCACAGGGCCACGTGCGGGCTGCCACCGGCTGCTGGAGGAGAGGGAAGGGACCCCACAGAGGGACCCCTCATCCGTGCCACAGCGCTGAGCCCATGGGTGCTGCTCCTGACCCTGCAGCATCCTCCTGCATCGCCCTTGAGCCGTGCGGCTGAGTCTTCCCAAAGGAGGCACGGGGCCGGGGTGGTCCCTCTGCGTCCCCCCCGGACCTGGGGACACCTGCTGGGGGGACGCCTTCCCCCTCCTGTCCCCCTGTGCTGGTGACGGGGGGCCAGAATCCATGGCAGGAGCGTCTGTCCCCATCATGTCCCCATTGTGTCCCCTCGGATGGGGAGATGGGGACCAGTCCCAGCACAGCCGCCTGCCCACCGAGAGCCCCCTGCACACCCTGGCTAAGGTCTGCCCGTCGTCCCCCCCCACAAGGACACATCTCCCCCACCCCCAGCATCCTGCAAATCCTCCAGGATTTCCCCCCAGCAGCATTTCTGCACGCCCCAGGACTTCACAGCAGCACAATCCTCTTCTAGAAGGGGTCCCCCCTCTGACAAACCCCCCAGCACCCTGCAAACCTGCCACGATTTCAGACCAGGGGCGTTTTTACAAAGCCCCCCGGGGATTTTGGGGGGGACAAGGGTACAAATGGGACCATCCTCCCCACCCCATTGCAGGGACACAGGACGAGCAGCCGGGTACAGGAGATAACTTTATTGAATCCAATGGAGTTAGACAGACGACCGAGAAGAGACATGCCGGGTGGTGCGGGCAGCGTGGGCAGCAGGAGCTGACTTGGTGCAGGGCTGGATTTGTTTTCTGTCCTTCGTGAGATCCTCAAGCCTTTTCCTGGCTTCCTTTTAGACTTGAAAATTTCTTTTAAGTAAAAACGACGCGTGGTGGAAAGAGTCCAGATGGTGTTTGTTCCCTCTGATTGTTCCCGCAGCTATGTACAACGGAGGGTTGGGTTCCAACATCAGGTATAAAATGGAGCGAGTTTACAAACTTCGAAGAGGCAAGGAAAAAAGCAAAGACAGACAGGCGAGAGCAGTAGAAATCCGGACCAAAATCTTAAAGAGAAATTTAAAAAGTGCTATAAAACCCCTCGGCAGGAATACCATGCAGTTAAGAAACACAAAACCCAGTCAATTACACAGATCATCTAAAACAGGAATTTGTCCATTGTCATCTTTTATTTAATTAAAAAAAGGTTGTCGTTTTGTTTTTTTCTCTTTTTTCTTTTTTTTTTTTTTTTGATAGAAAAAAGCTAAAATTGTAAGGTTCAGGCCACCGGGCAGCAGCAGCTCGAGGAGGGGCAGGAGGGGGAGGCGCTGGCAGCCGCCAGCCCCAGCCCCTCGGGAGGGCTCCTGGCGCTCCGAGGGGCCGCGGGTACCTTGGGGTGACGGGCACCCTGGGCACCCTGAGGGACAACAGGCACCTTTGGGGGTGACAGACACCCCTGGGGCTCCGGGGGACACCTCAGTGCAATCGTTGGCCCCATTGGGCCAGGCACCAGCAGCCCTGGGGGACACTCAGTCCCCGGCGCCCCCGATGGCTGCCACGCTTGGGGCCGGGGGGTGCGCGGTGTGAGCCAGGAGGAGCCATCGGGGTCTGTCCCCTTCCTCTGGGGAGCCCCAGAGAAGCCCCCCCACCACATCCCATCCTCGGGGCATCGCCCATCCCATTACTGAACGGGGCTGATGCAGGGCTTGGGATTCCTCCTGCTGTACACCGGGGTTTGTCCCTCGCCCCAGCGCACGGTGGCTGAGGTTTTGGGGCAGTCCCAGGCGGGGAAAGATGGGACAAACGCATGGGAAAGGGGCTGGGGGCACCCAGGTGTAGGGCCCCGGGTGAGCCGGTGATGGGGACGGTCGGTTTGACATTTTGGTGGCTCTGTGGGGGTCAGGAAAGACAGCCCGTGGAAAGCAGGGGGGACGCATCGACCCCTTACCCCACGGGGCTCCTCAGGGCACCCAGGAGGGCACCCAAAGGTGCTTCGTGCCCTGCCTCGGGCACCAGAGCCCCGAGGAGGGCGAGCGGGGCCAGAGGGGAGCACGGGTCCCCAGCGCCGGCCTCGAGCGACTGCTGAGCCGGGGTCTTGTACAATCAGAAAAAGAAGTCAGCACAGCACAGTTATCACAGAGTACAAAAAAAAAAAAGAAAAAAAGAAAAGAAAAAAATGGAAAGAGGCGCAGGGCCGGGCCCCACCAACTCCCGCAGGGCGTTCGACTACAGATCTATTTACAGCGAGTCCTCAGCCGACGGCGGCAACACAAGAGAAGGCAAAACGAAAAAAAGCCCTAGCGTCCAAGCCAGCGTGGGGAAGGGGACAGCCCTGTGCGGGGCGGGGAGGCTGTGGGACAGACGGAGAAGTGAGCACCAAGGGGCGCGGGCGCCGCGGCCGGGAGGCAACGGGGCGGCGAGGCGAGGCGCGCCGGGCGAGAGAGCACCAAGGGCGAGCGGCAGGAGGGACCAGGAGGGCCTGGGGGGAGATGCCCGCCTGGCAGGGTGGCGAGGTGTCCCCAAAAACCACGCGCAAAGAGGGGCCGGGAGCAGGACAAGGTGGATGGAGCAGCCCCGGGGGTTCCTCTCCCCAAAAGGGGTCCGAGGAGAGGGGGCCCAGGGGTTGCGCTCCCCTTGGTCCGGTGGGGGGACCGCGGGGATGAGGAGCCCAGCGGGGGGCAGAGGCAGCAGCAGCCCTGGAGCATCCTCAGGGATGTGCAAGCACAGGGCGTGAAGCCAGCGGCCCCAACGGGGCTGGGCTCACCCCAGTGCCACGGTCCTGTCCCGGCCCGGCTGGCTTTAGGGACACAGTGAGAGGACACCACCCCCGGGGCAGGCGGGACCGTGCCAGCCCCAGCCCTGCGTGCCCCCTTCCCACACGGCACAAGGATTAAGGCAGCGTGACATTGCACCTCGGGGCCAAGAGGACGTGGCCCCAGCTGGGTGTCCCCAGAGCACCAGTGTGGGGTACGGCCAGGCGTTGCCAGGGCCAAGGGCACAGGCTGGCACCTGGGGGCCACCAAACCCCAAGAGGGCCTGGGAGGGGATCAAGGGGCATGGGGACAACCCTGGGCACAGCCTGGCACCCTGGGTGCAGGGGAGGGGATGTCCCTTAGCACCCCAGCGGGGTGGGAGACCTCGTCCTGAGGGCCAGACTCTGCCTTGTGCTTTTGGGGAGGGGGGCTGCCAGGCAAGGGGGTGCTCCGGGAGCATCCCGCTGCCAGGTCCCGGCCCAGCCCAGCTGCGAGGCTGCAGGAGGTGGATTGAGGGACTGGAGGTTGTCCAGTGAGCACCAGTTTTGTAACGGAGGTGGTTGGAGTGGTGGAAGCGACGGCTGCAAAAGAAAGGCAAAGGAAGGGGAGCTGCTCGCGGGGAAGCGAGGGGCCACGGGGCGGGAGAGAGAAAAGCAGACCAAGAACAAAAAAAGGGACCAAAGCGAAGTCTGGACTCGGCCAAAGAAAAAGGGAAGGAGGGAGGGGAGGGGGGGGAATAAAATAAAATAACCGAAGCAGGGTTTATTGGGCTGTCCGGGTCGCAGCGGCTGCCATGCAGGTTAAACAGGGAACGTACAAAGGTAGCGGGGGATCCGTGCTGCCCCTCGCTCAGAGCGAGGCGGGCGCTGCCCCCCCGGCAGCAGTCCCTCGGTGCCTGCCCTGGCAGAGGGACAGAGGGACAGAGGGGGGACGCGCCCCAGCTCCGGCCCAGGTGGCTCCCGCGGGGTCCCTGCCCCACGCAGGGGCCTTCCTGCGGCTCGGCGGAGCGGGGGCTCGGTCCCAGCGCTCACAGCCCGGCCCCCGAAGCCCGAGAGTTTTGCAAGAGACAGAAAAACCAAGAAGAGAAACCAGGATTTCTCCTACCCCCCCGGCGTGGGGAGGGGGAACGGCGCCTCGCGCTCTGCCGCGGGGTGAGCCGAGCTTCCCCCACGCTCCGCGAAGGATGCGCGGAGCAGCCCCAAGTCCTCTCCGCTCGCTCGCCAGCCCCAGCCCCGCGCTCCAGGCTACCAGAGGAGAAGGAGAGCAGCCCCGGCGGCTGGCGGCGGCTCCCCTGCGCCTGGGCCGGCATGTCCGTGCCTCACAGAGTCGACTGCAGGTCGGGATCCACCATGGTCTCACGGTCCGGGGACTCGATGTAGTTGGCGGCTTCCTGGAGCTTCAGCAGCATGGCCATCTGCGGGGAGAGGCGCGTGGCACCCAGCCCGATGGGGACAGGGGGGGCTTCGGCAAGGAGCACCCAGCCCTCCTGGCCCTCCCAAACCGGCCACACCCCAAAAAACTCGCCCAGAGGGGAGAGGAATGCCCAGGGATGTCACAAATCCTTCCCCAGCACCAGGATTTGGACTTGGAGGATGCTGAGAGCTCTGCGTGCCAAAGCACTGGGGCCTGTCCCCTGGCACTGCACTGTGAGCCCCCTTAGTGTGTGCCCATGTGGTGCCACCACCCAGGACCCACTGCTCCTCCCAGGAGCACACAACAGAACTCAGAAGTTGGGTTTTTTACACCAAAAAGGCCCCAGGAAAGCAATGCAACAGCCCCGTCCTGTTCTCCCTCCAACCCTCCCGGCGCCTTCCCAGCCATACCAGGGGGTCCGCGTCCAGGGAGCTGGGCGTCGTGTCCTTGGCGCTGCGCTCCTCGGGAGGGGACACGGTGCTGTGGGGCCCGATGGTGGGCGGGGGCAGGTGGTACAGCTTGGACTGGTCCTGCTGCGCTGACGGCCAGGGCAGGGTGTCCCGCACCCACTCCACGGGGTCCTCCCAGGCCGCCTTCTGCCCGTGGACCTGCGGGCAGAGAGCATCAGCCGTGGCTTCAGCACGCACCGAAACTGGCAGCAATCAGGGGAGGGGGCAACAGGGGCATCACCTGCACCCCAAATCCACCCCTGCACCTCCCCTCTCCCCACCCTGTTGTCTGCTGTGACAGCACGTCCCCAAGTGCCCCCGGTTCCAGGCAGAGCCCTGCTTTGTGTCCCCACGTGCCAGGTAGCCTTGGGTACCTTGAGCCCATCTTTCGCTCCCTCCTGCAGGTAGGGGATGATGGAATTATTCCACAGGTCGATGAACCAAGTCCGGAAATCCTCGATCCCGATGGGGCAGGACAGGAAGAAGCAGGGACCTGCAGAGGGAGGCAGAGAGCGAAGATGGGAAGCGGGTGGCCCCCAACCCCGCGCCAGCCCAAAAACCCAGCCCCAAAAGTGTGTGAGGCAATGCTACACCTGCCTGGGAAAACCCAGCAAAACCGCACCCAAGGACGGGTGCCAGTAAGAGCAGCAACCTTGTCCTAAACCCCAGTGACAGCTCCCACAGGGCAGGGGGACAAGGCCACCCAAACGAGCCCTGTTTGTGCCCATCACCCCCCAGCTTTCATCGGTGTGGGGCTGGGGGACACGAGGCAGCATCGTGGCTCCTTTGGGACAGTTTTGTCCCCATCCCATGGGGGCTCCCGCGGCTCCCTGCGGCACGAGGCACAAGAAGGAGCCCAGGCCGTACCGATGAGGAAGTCGGAGGTGCTGTGTTTCTCCAGGAAGGTGTGCAAGTGGTACCAGAGCTTGGGCACCCAGTCCAGCACGCGCAGCAGCTCCTCCTTGTTGGCGTTGACGTCCGTGTCCGACTCCAGCAGCTTCCGCCGCAGGTAGCGCACCAGGAAGCCGTTGGCCGGCTCCACGTTGTTGGAGAAGGTCAGCATCCTGCGGGGAGAGCCGAGTGCTCAGGGCTGGGTCTTCTCCGCAAGAAGCCCAACTCCCCGGCACCCTCCCCAGGGTCCCCGCACCTTTAGGGGACCTCCTGGCACCCCTAACGCTGCCTGCGCCCAGGGCTGGGGACTTCAGACCCTTGTGGGATGGCAGGGACAGGCCTGGGGCTTGGTCCTCACCAGGGTCCCTGGGACTGCCCGGGGGCAAGAGCGATGCCCCCTGCCCTCCCTAGCCCCACAAGGATGCTCACCGGAGATGATCCATACCTAAAGCTGAGGTGGAGGCCATGGTTTGGAGTCATCTTCACGGGCTGGTTGGTGGTCCCGATGATGTAGGGGCTGAGGGAGAGATGGAGAGAGACAGGAACCATGAGAAAAAGCACCCTGCAGCGCTTCCACCTGCAGCAGAGCCGGAGGAAACCCACAGGGCCGTGCAGCCCTACCCTCCAGGAGCCCGGGGAACGCGCTGAGAGCAGCAGGGAGCGTGCACGTGCCCCGGAGGGGGACACCACGGGGCTCTCACCATTTGTGGTACTTGCAGGTGAGCGCGCCGTTGACGAGCTCGCTGATGGAGCCCGCCTCGCTGAGGTCGTCCAGGAGGATCACCAGCGGCACGTCCGCCGTGCCCGTCTCGCGGTCGATCTGGTTGGCCAGGTTGGAGAGGTACAGCTGCAGGTCCTGCAACCAACGGAGCTGGGCGTCACGCGTGGGACCACGGCGTCAGCGCCAGTGCCAGCGGGGAGGGTCTCAGCCGCCGCGCGCCCTCACCTTGCAGGACTGCTGGTGCATGTTGAAGGTGCTGACGATGCCCTCGGTGACGTCCCGGCCCGAGCGCTCCACCAGGTACTCGGCCAGGCGGTTGGTCAGGTAGGTCTTGCCCGTGCCGCTGGGTCCCGAGAGGATGAGCCGCCGGTGCTTCAGCAGGAGGCTGATGTAATGCTGCATCATGGGCTTGGGGATGAGCGTCTCGAACACCAGGCTGTCCACGCACTTCTCCTTCAGGCCTGCGGGCAGGGGAGGGCTGAGGGTGCTGCTCCGTGCCACCACGGGGCAGAGGGAGGACAGGGCAGCGAGGGAGCCCACCGACCTTTGAGCGTCACCACGATGCTGGTCATGCCCCGGCGGCACAGCGGCAGCTCTGGTGGCTCCGTGTCCAGGACCCGCTTGATGTGGCTGATGCTGTAGCCGTAGACGGACTCGGTGCTGAGCCCCAGCGTGGAGGCAGGATCCATCTTGGTGATGTAATCCTGCGGGGACAAGGACAGGGCCTGTCAGGAGGCAAACAGCACTCAGCAGCCGCATGAGCTCCTGGTAAGGACCAAGCCAGGGAGCGTCAGGAAGAGCGGAGCAGTGAGAAAGATGTTCTCAAGAGAGATGCCGGGATGCTCCTACCTTGAAGACCTGGCAGACGGCCTCATCCAGCATCTTCCAGTCCACCTTCCCGCTCACCTTGGTCCAGCCCAGGAAGAACTCCTGCTGCTTGAGGTCCTAGGAGCCAAGGCAGAGATGTGCAGAGTGGGAGCACTGCACCCAGCCCCGGAGACGCATCCCCCTGCCCCTCATCCAGGACCGTGGCGCTGGGCCACGTCGGGCTCCCCGCGCTTACCCCCTTGATGATGTGCTGGGGCGGCATGCGCACCACGATCCTCAGCGTCAGCTCGTCCTTCTGGGTGCCGGCACTGACGGCGTCCATGGGGGACACATCTGGGGACAGAGCAGAGTCAGGCCGTGCCAGCAGGGCGAGCAGAGCCACGGGGCCTGACCGTGCCCAGCCTGAGCTGATCGGGACACAGGCAGCACAGCAGGTCCCCGTGCGCAGCCATCTCCCAGTGCTCTCCCAGCACGCTCCCACTGCCTGTGCTGGGCACCCCCATGCACATCCATGTCCCTTCTGTCACCCGGCAGCTCCGTCACCCCTACCTGTGTCCGCCAGGCTGGGGCTGAAGGCATGGCCGAGGGCGAGGCCCAGCGAGCGCCGCGGCGAAGAGGAGGCCGAAGTGCTCGTGACGTGGCCGGGGAGGGATCCCGGCACCGCCGAGGGCCCCGGAGCCACTTTGAGCCGGTCGTTCTCGGCCTTCAGGAGATCCACCTCCAGCTGGGGGAGAACCGTGTGGCGGCCCAGGGTGAGCAGCTGGGTGCCAGCAGCATCCCAGCGCCAGCCCGGGGCTGCGGCACGGCTCCGGGGACGCGAGGACCACAAGCCCCGAGGTGCAGCTGCCCTCACCTGCATGTTGTGCATGGTCTCCCGCAGCTGCTCCAGCTGGTGGGCCGAGTTGAGGGCCTCCAAGCGGATGTCCGTCAGCTTCATCTCCTTCTCCCACAGCTCCGAGCGCAGCTCCGACACCTCCTTCTTCTCCGGCTCGCCCTCGCTGTGGGCCTGGAAGAGCCTGTGATGGGGAAGGAGAGCACGGCGTGCTGAGGGCTGGGGCAAGGCACCCCAAAACCCCGCGCCCAACCTTCCCTGCCCCACGTACTCAGCCGTGTCGATGCCCACGGAGGAGGACGTGGAGGACTTGATGGAGGGCGAGGCGGTCTCCGTGGAGCCGTGCTGCAGCTTGGGGGAGGATGGGGCAGACGAGTCCGGCGTGGCGATCTCCTCGATGTCCGAGTAGGACGAGGCTGACTTGGGCCCCTTCTTGATGCTGAAGGCTTTGTTGAAGGAGCTTCGCAGCTACAGGAGACCAAAAACACCTCGTTACGGACAGCCAGACAGCTCAGCCTTGCAAACACGGGCCTGGCCCAGGCCCCACAGATGGTCTGAGCCGGGACCAGCAGCACCAGAACCATCGCTGAGGCACCCGTGGCTCCCCACCACCACCCCAAGAGGCACCGCTGTGACCCCGCACCAACTGGCCCCACTGAGCAGGACCCGTGTCCTGGCCAGGCTCCCCACAGACCTACCCCCAAAATTAGCACCCACACGGGGGCACGGGGGGACCGCACCAGCGCCCTGCTCCATCGGGAAGGGGCGACTCCATCCTCACGGTCACCCCCTGCAGCCAACCCAGCGAGCAGGGCTTTGGGAACAGAGCTGGGGACGCACCCCAAGCCTCTCCTCTCCGTGCTTCTGGAGGGGCAGGGGGCCAAACAGCCTGCTGGAAGGGTGCGGGGGCTCGGCAGGCGTCCCGGCCGGGCATGCAGCATGCACACAGCACACACACAGCAGCGGGCGGGCGAGTGCGAGGCCGGGGGGAGCTGATGGACACCGTGCAGGGGCCAAACCGGGCCTGGGTCCTGCACACGCAGCCCCACCACCAGGACTCTGGAGGTCACAGCACGTCCCCTGGGGCGCCCGGGTCTGCTCCAAGGGGAGGCAGGGGGAAAAGAGGATGGAGAGCAGGCAGGATCTGGCCCATCTCCCACAGGCACTGCTGGGCAGGCTGGGCTGGGGCATCCCCCAAAAGTGAAAATACTGTATGTCAGGGAAAAAAAAATGTAAAAATAGAAATAGAACGAGCTGAGCATCTGGCTCTGCTGACAGCAGGAGAGCAGGGGAGCATTGGGACCTGCATGGATCCCAAAGGGGACAGTGCTTGCCCTAGGCAAGAATGGGGGAAAACCCATCCATGGATCCAAGGACAGGTCCCAATCTGAGCCCTCCCTGCTGCCCAGGTGGTTCAGCCCCTCCACGTGGGTGCATGGTTTGTACCCTAACACCAAAAGGAAGCAGCCGAGGTGTGCGTGGCACAGGGCCCCGGGGTGGCCGTGCTAGGGATCAGTGCCAGTGGGATGGATGGGATGGTTTGGGGCACGAGCGCCGTCCCGTGAAATGGAGCAAGCGCCCTGGGTAGGCACGGCATGGGGTGGAGAGGACGGCGTGGGACTTACCTCGTACACCTGGAAAAAAAGGGTTGAGGTCAGCATAGGGGGAAGAGAAACAGAACAAAGCAAGACTTAATCACACAGTCCAGCTCGGGGCTGCCTGGCCGGGTGTTTGCAGAGCCCCAGGCTCGCACCCCGTGCTGCCAGCGCCTGCGGGGGCTGAAGGGAGGCAGGTGGGAGACACCACGAGGGAGCAGGCGTGCGGGACAAGGGCTGGAGAACTCCCAGGGGAGCTGGGGAACTCCTGGCCCCAGGCAGCACAAGACAGAAATATCCAGGGTGGCTGCACGCTCCTCGGCAGCGCTGTCCCCAGGGGACAGAGGGAACCAAGATGGACCGAGCGGGGCTGGCTCAACGGGGCTGAGCCCGGCCAGACCCTGCCAGCGGCTCCCCACGCCCCCTCCTCCTGCCACCGGCCTGCCCAACCCACCCAGCTCTTCTTCTTCTTCTTCTTGGCGTCTGCGTCCTTGCTGCTGCCGATGCTGGAGTGGCTGGTGATGCTGTTGAGGCTGGAGATGCTGTCGGAGGAGTTCTGCCGCTTGATGCGCAGCTCTGGGGCCGGCGAGAGAAGCCAGGGAGTGGGGAGAGACCGGGAACAGGAGCGATCAAACCGTGCCCGTCCCCAGTGCCACAGCCCCCCGGGAGCTCCCCCCAGCCCACCCTGAGATCCCTCCCTTCTCCCCTGGGCCCAGCCGAACCCCGCAGCGGTCAGAGCCTCCTGGTAAGGAGGATACCGGGGGAACCAAGCCAAAATCAGCAGCCAGAAACACAGAGGTGGCAAAGAGCCCAGTCCCTAGGCACCAGCACCGAGACCTGCTGTGCCGACAGCCCTGGCTGCGTGCAACCCAGGTTTTGGATGCTCAGGGGTCTCAGGCAGGAAAGGGGCTGCTGCCCAGAACCCCAAACACCTCGCAAGAGCCAAGGATGCCCCAGGGCCCTGCGTCAGCCCCGGGCAGGAGGAGCCCAGCTGGATTCAGGCAGGGCTGCCAACCCCACAGCAAGGACTGATGAGTTCCCTGCTCCCCAGGGTGCAGCTGCAGCCCCGTGCCCTACCTTTGGGCGCAACTTCGGTGCCGTTCAGAGCACCCTGGATCACAGCTTGGGCCTCCGAGTTCTTCTTCTTCAGGAAGTCGATGGTCTCCCGCAGGTCCAGCAGCTCCGTGTCCTGCAGGAGCAGAGCCAGGAGCCCTGCAGCGCGTCCCCATGGCGCGAGGGACACCCCAAGAGCTCCCGGGGGCACCCTTGGGTTCACCCCACGTACCCCCCAGCCCCGCGAGCACTCTCCCAGTGCCTCCCCACGGCTCTCACCTTCTCCTCGGCAGTCTCAGCCAGGTGCCGCAGGCGGGAGGTCATGCTCACCAGGCTCTGCTCAAAAGCTGCCACCAGGTTGGCCTGGGAGAGACGGGGATGTGGATGAGCACCCGCGACCCCGAGCTGCTCGGCACGGGATGGGGAGCTCAGAGAGGGGATTTCTCCTGGGGCAGGGGAGCCAGCACCAGGGGGAAGCCCACAGCAGGGACCACCGCAGGCTGGCCTCGGGGTGCTCCCAAGGGAACCCAAATCTCCCGTGGGTGGGCACCAGCCCCACACATCCCCCGTGGGTTCCCGCAGGGACTCACGTTAGCAGACAGCTGGGACGTCAGGGTGGCCACCTTCTCCTGCGAGGACTCCAGCTCGCGGCGCAGCTTGCGGATTTGCTGCGGGGAGAGAACAAAGAGGGGTCGGGGGGGTGAGAGGGGTCGCGGCGCTCGCCTCGGCTGCGGCAGCGAGGTGGGGACCAGGCGGCAGCGCTGGGCACGGGCTCACCTCGGACTGCATCTTCTCCTCAGCCTGGCAGCGCGAGGGCAGAGAGAGACAGACAGAGGCGGGCAGTCAGGAGGGCAGCGAGGCACGGCCAAGGCTCAGCGCGGGGCGGAGGACATGCACAGAGCCCCCCCATACGCACAGCTCAGCACCCCAAATCCCACCCAGGGCCCCCCCCCCAGCCCACAGCCATGCAGGAGGCAGCGCAGCCCGGCGGTGGCTCTTACGGAGGAGTAGGTGGAGGAGGCGCTGGAGGCCAGGGACAGCACCGATCCGTGAACTGCAACAGAACAAAAGCTGTCAGGAAGCCGGGAGCTCCTGGGGCCACGGGGGGCTCTGCGGGGACCCTGCGGGGACCCGGGGAGGGTGGCTGCAGGGCTCTGCCCGCTCCTCGGCACTTGGCCACGACCACATCCTGGTAGGGCTGCTTGGGGAGCACCCTGGGCTCTGTCCAAGCCTCAGCCACTCTGCTTGGGTCCCCTGTCCCCTAGTGCCAAGGACACCAGGCACCGCTGGACACCCACCACGGCATAAACCTGCCCACCAGCACCTGTGTGGGTCGGGAGCTGCACAAAGAGCCGATGCCAGCACAAAGGAGGTCGCCAAGCACTGCGCCGGGTGTGCCAGCCCCTCCAGCAGCACCCAAAAAAAACGGACGAGGATCCGAGGAGCCCCGCCACCCCCCGGGGAAGCCCTCTCAGCCTGGGCACACTCTCACCGTCGTCCACAGGGTCGCGGAAAGAGCCCGAGCGGATCATGCCCTTGGGTTTGTCTGCCAGGGAGAGGGTGCTGCCCATCTGGGAGGTGCTGTACAGCTCAAAGGTGGAGTCGTGGGTGGGGATGCTGTTGGAGCGGGTGATCCGCGGGGTGGTGGCGGCAGTGGGGCTCACTGCAAGGAGAAGGAGGGGGAGAGGCAGGGTCAGAGCGGGGATCGGGGTGGGGAAGAGGGGCTGGGAGCGGTCGGTGGAAGGCAGGATGGGGAAAGGAAGCAGGGATCGCGGTCCCAAAGCAGAGGCACGGGAGGAAAGCTAAAAAGCAGGTTTACACAGGGACCTGTAGACCTGCGACATCTTCTGGTGAGCACAGAGCTGAGGAAGAAATCCCTCACCCTGAGGCAAAGCTTGTGCCACCGTGCAGGAGCCCATCACCTCCGGGAGCAACCCCATCACCTGCTGCCAGCCCCAATCCCTCTGCCCAAGTCCCCAAACCCTCCAGGAACGTGGAGGAGCCAGGAAGAACAGGGCAGGGCTTCACTTTGCTCTCTGGGCACCCCCAGAGGAGAGGAGCACTGCGGGCAGAGACCCAGTGGTGGGCTGGATGCCCTGAAGCAGAGGTGATGCATGCCCATGGTCTCCCAGCCACATCCCAGCACCTTGCTGGGGCCAAAGGCACCAGATACGGGGGGTGGCGAGGAGAAACCCATCCACCCAGAGGCAGCCAGAGCCCAGCAGAGAGCCCAGGTGCCGAGGGGGGGACCCAGGGGATAAGTGGGATGGGGCTAGGGGGCACTGACCGATGCTGGTGAGCGGGCCCTTCCCCACCAGTGCCATGGGCAGGGCGGGGGGCGAGGGCAGATCCGTCTGGTCAGTCCGACTCGGGGAGCCCACCGATGGTGTGCGAGTGGCGCCGCTCCTTGGCCTCCTCCTGGGAGTGGAGCTGGTACCTGGAGGGGAGCAGAGCCCAGCACGGTGAGGTGGCGGGGGGGCCGCTGCCAGCCCCACGCCCCAGGTGCCCCCGCACACCCGTCCTCCGTTCCCAGAAACATTCACGAGCCCTTGGGGCCCTTTTTACCTCAGCCCTTTCTTGGGCAGCGTGTTCCTGTCGCGGTTGGAGCTGGAAGGGAAGGGAAGGGAAGATCAGCCACCTGCACGGAGGGGAGGTGCCACGCCGCGCCTAGGGGCTGAGCGATGAGCGACGGCACGGGGACAAGGCAGATTTCCCCCAAATATGAGCCTCCGAGGCAGGCAAAGGCCACGGTAGGATGGTGAGGAGGGTGCCCAGCAGCCCGTCAGCCACCCTCAGCCCGTACCTGTCCAGATGTGCGAGCCGGGGGCTGCCGCTCCAGCCCAGCTCACCCGCCTCCTCCTCCTCCTCCTCCTCCGCGCTGGCAGTGGGGACAGCAGCAGGGGTGGGGGCGGCGGTGCTGCCCCCCGAAAAGGCACTGGGCAGGCTCATGGGCATCTGCAGGGACTCCATGCTGCGGTGCAGGCCTGAGAGCTTGGGGTACATCCTGCCCTCCTTGGGGACGCTGAAGCCGCCCATGAGCTCCAGGCCCTGGGAGAAGCTGGCCGAGTTGATGTTGAGGATGGGGGCAGGACTGGGGCTGAAGCAGGGCGTCAGGTGCCCGCCGCTCGGGTGCAGGTCCTGGAGCTTGGCAGCGTGCGGGGGGTGCAGCTCGCTGGAGGAGGGCAAGTCCAGGCTGTTCGAGTTGACCTTGTCCAAGTTGGCCAGCGAGGGAGGCTTCACGTACGTCTTGGCAGCAGCTCTGGGGGAAGGAAAATGGGTGAGGACGGCGGTGAGACCGCGCGCCGGGCACTGGCTCGGTGCTGGGCACGGCCACACCGCGCTCCTGCTGCCTTTGGGGCAGGGAAGTTCATACCTGAGAGGTGTGGGGGGCAGCTCAGCCACCTTGGCCGCCGGCGGGAGGTTGGCCTGGGCTTTTGGGGTGCTCTCGGGCGAGCCGATGCTCTTCAGCGTCACGCACTCGGAGTCCAGCGCTACCGCCTTGGCCTTGGCCTTCTCCTTCTCCCGGTCCGTCTGGTTGACGGGGGCCGGCGCGCCGCGGCCGGCGCCGATCTTGGACGGCTCCTTGAGCCGCGACACCGAGATGCTGCCCTGCTTGGTGCTCAGCAGGCTGGGATCGATGCTGCTGCTGACGGGCCGGGTGGCACCGCGGCCACCGGTCACGCTCATGGAGCTGGACTTGGCCGGCCGGGGCAGGCTGCGGTACTGGATGTTGGAGCGAGCCCCCGGGGCCAGGAACCCGGGCTCGGCCGCGTTGGAGACATCCAGGCTCGTTTTCCTCCCGCTGACCGGCTTGACGGGGATGCCGGAGCTCTTCTGGATCTTGCCGAGCGTGGCCGAGCCCCCAGCCTGCATGACGGTGGCGGTGCCGGTGGCAGGAGCCGGCTTCTTGTAGCCGAAGGAGCTGGAGGCCGAGGGGCGCGTGAGGCCCGAGGGGGGCTTCTTGGCGTCACCGATGCGGTCGCGGCCGGCGTCGGAGGAGGAGCGCTGCAGGCCGGTGTTCTTCACGGACAGCTTGCTCTTGTCGGTGGCTTTGGTCTCAGGTTTGCCTGTGGCAGGGAGGGAAGGAGGGGTTAGCAGCCCAGGAGCAGCGGGGAGGGTTTGGGGGACGGGACGTTTGGGTGCCTTGGAGATGAGGAAGCAGAGAGGTGATGTAGAGGAAGAGGACGGGACGCGGCACTGCCCAGAAGCCAGGATCCCCCCACCCAGCCAGCCTCGAGCCCCGCGGGGTGTCCCACAGCCAGCCCACGGCTGATGTGCACAGAGAAGACACATGAAGATACCCAGAATCAGCCCCTGCCCAAACCGGCCTCACCTGCCACTTTGAGGGTGCTCTGGGCCGTGTGGGTGATAGGAGAGGTCACTGCCACTGGAGGGGTCTTGCCCTTCTTGAGGGAGCCCGGGGTGCCCAGGCTGACCGGCTTCTTCAGCTCGCCGCCCTTGGAGCCCTCCTCGCAGCTCTCCGAGGGCTCCCGCCGCCACTTGGAGGAGCCGTGCTCCATCTTGAGGCTGCTGCTGTCGTAGTCCAGCTTCTTGGTCGCCTTGTCCTCGGCCTCGCCGTACCAGCTCAGCCCGCTCTCCGCCAGCGAGCGCTTCTCTGAGTCGGTGCGCAGCTGCGGGACGAGAGGAGTCAGGGGGCAAAACCGGCACCCAGCCCAGCCCCAGAGAGTGCCAGGGCACCGGACACCCGTGGGTGCTCCCAGCCCCACCAAATCACGGCCCCGTGGCACGTGCCATGCCTTGGGCACCCCTCCCCTGCCCACCCTGCTGCGGGGTGGCACCGCGGGCACCTACCGCTATGGCCGAGTTCCTGCGCGAGGCCGTGGGGGTGGAGGGCAGGGAGTTGAGCGAGGAGCTGGCGTTGAACTCCTCCGAGCTGAGGTTGTCAGAGGCATCGCTGAGGCCGCTGCTGATGGAGCTGCTTTCATCCCAGCTGCAACAGCGAAGCCAGCGTGAGGCCCCCTGCCCAGCCGGCCCCTGCCACCGCCACGTGTCCCCCTGCCACCCGACTGCACCCCCGGGGCCAAACCTCAGCTCCCGTTCAGCCTGGTGGGGAGCTGACACTTACAGCCGTGGCTGGCTCCAGCCCAGCCTCGTGCAGGCTCCAAACCCCCGCAATTTCCCCATGCAGGCCCCCACAGGAGGTGTTTTATGGACTGCAGGCACCTGTGCAGTGGGGGGGACCAGGCACCTGCACCGGCACGGCAGGCAGCACCGCGGCCGGCACCGAGCTCCCCGCGCCCAGCCCCACCGAGGGGGTCAGGAGGATTCCTGGAAAGGGCAGGGAGCGGCCGGAACACCAAACTCATCCACCCCACAGCCTCCACCCTTTCTCAGGCAGCTCCCACTCGCTGCTCCAGGCGCCCGCGGGGGACATCGGCACCTCCCCAGCAGCCCGGGCAGCTGCTCCGTGCCGGGGGCGCAGCGGAGCGTGCACGAGCCCATCTCCGGGGCTGTCAGTCAGCACGGGCAGAACGCACGGAGCACGGCCGCCTTCCAGCAGGATGAGCACGGCCCCTTTCAGGTCAGCGGCTCAGTAGGTCAGGGAGGGCCCCGCAGCCCCATATCAGCTGCTCTGGGCTTTTTGGGGGGGACGGGGAGTGGAGCCGAGGGGACGCAGCCAGCCGCGGTCCCCAGCACCAGCACTGGAGCTGCAGCAGCCAAGGGAGCTGTGCAGCAGCACCCAAGTGACATTTGGGGACAGGACGGGCAGGGATGGCAGCCACTGAGCACCTCTGCCACCCGGGGTGCAGGGAGGGTGCCCAAATGCTGGGACGGAGCCATGGGGCAGCAGAGGTTGGATGTCCACAGGGGACTGGTGTCCTCAGTGCCCTGTGGCATCGCCTGGGCAGCTCCAGCACAGCACCGGGTGGGGGTCTGGAACCATCAGGGGGCACGATCGGGTGCTCATCCCTTGCTCCTCCACACCCCCCAGGCTGGGCACTGCCACAGCCCCTCTGCAGTAGGGTCAGGATGAGGCTCCCCACCCCACGCAGCCCCGGGGGCAGAGCTGCTGTCAGCAGCCAGAGGTTTACGGCCGGGCGAGCAGAGCCTGGCCCCAGGGAAGGGGCCCCCCCGTCACATCTCGGGGGAGCCCAGAGCTGCTGGGCACCCCGGCAGGACGCGGGGAGCTCGTGCATCCCCAGCACGAGTCCCTAAAACCCAGGGAACTGGCCAGGGACAGAGGGACGCAGCCCCCTGCATCCCTCCAGCACAAACCCTGCTGCCCAGGAAGGGATTTAATTACAACCACGTGCCCAGGAAGCGCCACGGAGCTGCCCGGCTCCGCAAATCTCCCAGCACCAGCCCCTGCTGTGGGGATTTCTCACCGGGACAGAAATCCCCAGAGCTCGAGGCTAAGCTCCTCTCCCCTCCCGCGTCAGCCCCTCGCCACAGGCAGCCCCCAGAGCCAGGCAGAGCTTTGGGGAGCTGCGCCCCGCTGGCCACGTGGCTGCGACCAAACGCGGTTGGGTCTTTCCAGCTTGTGCCAGCCCAGCTGGGCTGACCCCAAAAGTTCTCCCGGCCTCACACAGGAGGCCCCAGGGGGTTGATATATGCAGAGCCCCAATGAAATGGGCACAGGGCTTGGGGCTAACCCATGGGGAGGTAGCCCCAGACCCCCCTCAGCAGCCCCATGAGGAAGGACCAACGTGCACCCACGGGGGGAGCTGTCTCTGGAGCCCACCCAGCTCGCCCCACATGTCTACCCCACCACGAGCCCTGCTCAGGGGCTGCCTCTGCTGCCTGCGTGGCCCCGTGCTGGGCTCCGGGCGCCCCCACCAAGCCCTCAGCACCACCCCAGGACAGCCCGGGGGAGGGCCCAGGCCACATCCCAAAGGCACTGGGGCCACAGGGTGAGACCTGGGTACCAGATTCCCACCCTGGGGTGCCTCGAGCTCTCTTGTAGGGTGCATGGCTGGCACGCAAAGGGGTCCTCAAAACCCAGCACCGTACCTAAATGTGACCCCACCACCACCCCCCGGCAGAAAAAGGAGCTCAGCTTGGGCTCCCAGTCCGTGGCTGAGCCCAGGCAGCCCCAAAGCAGCCCTAAGGGGGGTCCTGCTGGCCAAGGTCACCCCAGCACCCCCCTCAAACCCCAAAGCCCCAGCACCACGCTGAAACCAAACCCGCAAACCCTGTCTGGGGATGCAGGGGGAGATCCTGCGGGGATGCAGCGCCCGAGGGAGGGCTGAGCCCCCAGATCTGGGCTGGGGGGCAGGGGAGCAGCCAGCTCCGAAGCATCTCCCCGTGCTGCAGCCCCGGCTGCTCCGGGGCTGGGCTTTTGGGACCGGCTGCTGCGGGCACCGCGCTCCGGGGGAGCAAAGCTCGGCCCCGCTTTGTGCTCCCCACCCTCCACCTTCCGCAGCGCCCCCCCGCCAGCTCCCTGCACCGAGACCCCTCCCGGTGGCACCCCGGGGCCATGCGCCCACCCCGGGGAGCTGCGAGACGAGCCCGGGGTGCTGAGGGGGGGGCTCCCAAGGGATGCTCGGGGGGATCCCAGCACCGGCTCCGCGCGGTGGAGTGCAACGGGGCCAAACCGCGGGGACCCCCGGGGCCGGCAACCGGGAGCTGAGGCTGGGGAGGGGAGGGGGGGGGCGCGGGCGGGGCCGCGGCTCCCTCCCGCCCCCGGCGCGGTGCAGACAAAGCAGCGGCCGCGATGCGGCCCCGGGGCTCGGGGCCCGGCAGACAAAGCCCCAACCCCGGCCCCGGCCCCCGGGAGCCGCCCGCCCGCAATGCGCCCGCGGCCGCCCCGCGCTGCGCCCGCCGGTGCCGGTCCCGGAGGCGGTGCCGTTGCTGGTCCCGGTGCCGGTCCCGGTGCCGGTCCCTACCTGGCGGCCAGGCGCGGGGCACGGCGCATTCTCCCGGCCCGCAGCATGCTGCCGCCCGGAGCAGCGGCCCCGCGGGAGGGGCGGCGGCAGCGGGCCCGCCCCACCGCGTTAAAGCGGCAGCGGCCCCGGCCCGGCTCGGTTCGGGGACAAAAGGCACGCCCCCAACCCCCCCACCCCCCAAAAAAAAAATATTTAAAAAAAAAAATAATCAAGGGTTGGGGGCTCATCCTCGTTCCAGCGCCCCCGCATCGCCCCCCTGCCTGCCCGGAGCCCCCCCCCCCGATCCCTCTCCCCGTGTCCCCGCATCCCTGCGCCCGGCCCCAGCCGCCCCAGGGCCGGTTCTGGAGCCCCCCAGCCCAGCCCCGGAGCATGCCCCCAGAGCTTCTGGGCTCTGCCCTGCACAGGGGGCGGCTGCTTCCAGCAGGCCTGGCTCCCGCAGAGCCCCCCCCTTGCACAACGGCTCGGTTTGCATCTTGGTTTTCCATCCCTTAGCCAAGCGGGAGCTGCGCCCCCAAGGCAGGGCGCACCCCGGGGACCCCCTCGGCCACCCCTCTGCAGCGTTGCGGTGGGCAGAGAGGGTTAAATGCGGCTGCAGCACAACAGCACCGGTCCCTGCGGGCTCGGAAATAAGTAATTCCTTCCTCGCCAGCCCTCGCACGGCAACGCCTCTTGGCTCCCTCCTGCCGCACAGCCCCGCTCGCGCTGTGCCTGCCCCGGCTTGGCGAGGCGAGGCCGTGTGGGGTGCGCGCTGCCCGACCCCGATGGTCACCCCTTGCCGGCACCTGCTGGCCCCACGGTGGCTCTCGGACACGTGGCTGCTGGCCAGGAGGATGGAGGTTGCCCCCCGAAGCGCTGCGGCACCTCGCTGGGGGGTCTGGCCCCATGGTGAGGGCACCGGGATGCGCTGCCATGGGATGCGTGCCAGCGGGGCGGCGGCACGGCACCGGCACCGCTTCCCTCGTGTCCCTCCATCCCCTTCTGTCCCTCCCTCCTGGCCAGGAGCATTCGGAGGAGCAGCTTTGGCCTAAATCTGGATTTGGGGCTGGTGAGGAGCCCCCCTGGACAGCCTGGGTACCCTGGGGGGAGAAGTCGCTGCTGGTGGCTCTGCGCGGTGCATCCCTGAGCTGAGAGCACCACGGCCACGGCGGCACGGCCACAGGTCCTGCTCCTCACCTGTCTCACTCCTGTCACCACACCGACACCCACCCGCGTGCCAGCTGGCCCCGCTGCCACCAGCCTTGTGTGTGAGCCAGGGAAGCCACCGGGAGCTGGCTGACCCTGGAAGGGCAGAGGGGATGCGGCGTGGCGCACCCCACGTTGTCCTCAGCCACCATCTTTCGCCTGTCACCTGCCCCAGTTGTCCCCAGATGAGGACGTGGAGCCCCTCTCGCTCTGTCCCAGCCCTTCTCCCTTGCTCTGCCGTGGTTGTTGCAGTGGGGGAGGCACGGGGCACGCGCAGCCCCCCTGTTTCTGTAGGGCCAGGGCTCTGGGGGGTCTCCGTGCCTACATCCATGGGTCGCTGGCACCAAGGGGGCTCTGAGGACGGCCACTGAGCTCTCCCATCAGAGCCTCACCCCTGTGCTCCCTGCTCCCAGCAGGGAAAAGCAGGGGCAGCCTGGGCTCTTTGCTTCTCATTCACTTAATGGGGCAGAAAAAACAATTAGCTGCATAAATCACTGGGGGGGGGGACGGGTAAGGGGGCCCTCGCTACTGCCCAGCGGCTCCGGGCGCTTCCCTGGGAGCACGGCTTCGATGAAGGTGCCCTTTTGGGTGCAGGGGGCACAGTGGGGAACTGGGCCACCCCTTTACAACCCCTGAAGCATCAGAAACCCCGGAGGAAGCGCGTCCATGCGCGGGGATCTCCGGGAGCGGGGAGACTCGAAGCCTTGCTCAGGGCTCGGGGCGTCGCGGCGGCCGCGTGCGGAGGTCGGAGAGTCCCAGAGCAGCACCGGGGTGGGGGAGCCGGATGTGACTCAGCCTGCTTGCGAAACTCCTGTTTTTCCTCTTGCCTGGACAAGCCCGAGGCCTCGGACACCTCTGCCTGCAGGGGCCGAGCTCCTCGCACGGGGCACGGCGGCACGTGGCGAGCGGCAAAGCCAAGGGGCAAAGGCAGCGCTCGGCTCCCCTGCTCTGCAACGGATCCCGGCCCTGGTCCCCAGTGCCCCAGCTGTGCCTGGCCCCATTCCTGGGGTCACAGGCCTGCTGGGGATGGGGCTGGGAGCCCCCCAGCCTCCCTGCACCCCTGCAGGGCCATCCGCCAGCCCTGGGTTATCCCCAGCATCCCCTGACCCCCTCCCCGATCCCAGGAGCCCCTTCCCAAAGCACACCCGAGGTGGCTGCTCCCGGGGAGCCTCAGGGCCTGGGGGTCTGCACCAGGCTCCTCGAGCAAACCCGAAATTAGGAGGAAACTCCAACACAGAACCCCCAACGTGGCACAGGGCAGCACGCTTCGATGGTGGCAGTGCCCGGCAGGGGTCTGGGGCTCTTTTTTTGGGCCTGTCCCCAGCTCGCCCCCATCCCGGCTGGAGGCAGGAGCCCCACGGAGCCCCGGCACGCGGCACAGCGCAGCCAATATTTATCCGACACCACTTCCCTGCTGCTCCCCCGCGACCCAAATCTCCCCGCCTGGGCCCCGAACACACGCAGGGCCACGTGCGGGGCCACTGGCCGTGCCCCGCGGGATGTCCCAGCCGAGCGATGACTTCACGGGGCTCGCCGGGACGGCGGAGAGGGGTCAAGCCGGAGCTGGTCGACGCCGAGCGCAGGCCGTTTGAGGGAAGGGGAGGAGAGCGCCCACGCCAAGCCCGCTCGGAGCAGGGGAGGAGGGCGGCCGCTCCCCCACCGCTCACGGGGAGCCGAGCCAAACATCTGCTCCAGCCCCCGGGGCTGCGCCGAGCTCAAGTAGCTGCGAGGAAGCCGGAGCCTGGGCAGAGCCTGCTGGAGCACGGCGGTGTCAGCCAAAAGGACTCCCCCAAAAGGACTCCCCCCGAGCACAGATGTCCCGCGAGCACTTCCCCGGGGCCGTGAAGCCACCAGGCTTTTGAGTGCCCGGTGCCAGCGATGTGCTTCCGCACCGCCAAACCCCACCGAGCACAGCTCTGCACCAGGATCCTGGTACACCCGGGGGGGAATAAGGGAAACTGAGGCACGGGAGGTCCCTTCAGCCCCATTCCTGCACTGCCCGTACCCCGCCGAGCCCTCGGCAGCAGGCACAGGGCACGGCAGGTACAGCTCCGTGGTGTGGCGGAGCCATCCGGGGGCTTCTGGAGCATCCCAGGGCTCTGCCTTTTTGCTGTGCCAGCGTTGTGGGGAAGCGGTCGGGAACGGGCTGGATGACGAAGGATCTGGCAAAAGGAGGGCAGCGGAAAGCACTACGTCATGCAGGGCGCTCTCCAGCCCCGGAGACGTGATGGGGCGGCTCGGAGCGGGGCAGAGCTGACATGTCCTGCACGGGAGGGAGCCTGAGTGTGCGGGGTCGGAGCCCAACCACCTCGAAGCCCTAACCCTAACCCTATTTTTTGCTCCTGCTGTGCCAGGAGCTGCCGGAGCTGCTCCAGGTCACCCAGCACGTGCGACACCACGGAGCAGCAGCACAACCACGCAGCCACACCACAGAGCCACGAGTGGCTCCAGGAGGATGGGGCCACACCGCCTGGACGCGGGCAGGATGAAACCAGGCAAAACCTGACTTGAAAAACCCCGCCTGAGCCACCCGAGCCTCCTCCGCTTCCGCCTGATTCACACGCAGGTCCGCACACGAACGCGCCCGGTGCCGCCGCATCACCACCCCCAAAATCACACGACAGCCATCAAGCCGCGGTGCCCCGGGGTCTTCGCAGCCCAGGAAATGTCCCCAGCCTGGCTGGAGGTGGGGTGAGGCTCCCCCCTCCACCACCACCACCCTGCGGGGGTCCCCACACCGCCCACCCCGGCCACGTGCCGCTCCCCTACCTCGTGCCGCAGCGCCGCGTCTCCGAGGGGCTTTGTCACCACGTCCCCGTCCCCGGGGATGTGACACGGCGTCCCCCGGGCGGGCTGTGTCCCACTGCCCCACAAGGCTCCGTGCGCGTGCGTGGGGGAGCTGCCCCCACAGCCTGAGCCCGGGGGGCTGCTGGCCCCATCTGCAGCGCGCAGCTCCTGCCCGGTGCATTAGCGGCACGGGGAGACGCGGCCCGGGGCACTGCTGGGTTTCTAGGTCAGGCAGCCGAGGAGGTTGGATGAGGGGCTGCGATGTCCCAGCTGATCCTCCCGGGTGCCACACGACGCCGTTGCCTCGTGTCCCATCTCTTGAGACCCAGGAACAGAGCCCGGCCCCCTCCTCGCTGCAGGGCTCTGCCCTCAGCCTCCCCCTCTCCAGCCCGAACGCCCCCAGCCCCGCAGCTGCCCCTCACAGCTCAGTTCCCAGCCCCTTCACAGCTCGTTTCTCCGGGAGAACACCGGGTGAAACAGTGTAAATGCTGTTCTGAAACCCAGGAATGCTGTGGAAAATGTAAAACGCTGCTGAAACCCAGGCAGACGACATCCACAGGGCCCCACGCAGGGATGGGGACCGTGGTGTAGCCACCTGCCCTGAGCGAGGACACCCCAAGGCTCCCCCTGAGGACACCCCGAGGTTACACACACAGCTCCAGGACGAGCACGGAGGGTGAAGGGGGGCGGTGGAGCCCCTCACCCCATAGGGAGACCCACAGAAAAGCCCCAACTTCAGCCCAAAGCTACACCAGGCACTGCAAAGCCACCAGGTCCCCCAGCCGGTGACACGCCACCGCTGCCTGCTCACCCAGGGGGGGCACCGCGCTCAGCCAGCACCAGGCACCGGCGCTCACGAGCACGGGGCAGCCCCTCGAGCCCCCCAGGGAGGGCTCAGACACCCCCAAGCCCACGGTCCCCATGGCACAGGCAGCGTGACCCCCCCAGCCCCCCGCTCACCGCTGTCACACGCCTCCGAGCTGCGTCTGGGCAGCGCTGCCCCGAGCCCCAGGACGGGGGTGAAGCCGCGGGCTGTGCTTGGTTCCGCCAGGAGCTGACGTGACTGCGGACACCCCACGAGGGCTGGAGCAGCACTGTCAGGAGGCCAAATACCTCCTCCTGCTCTGGGACAACTCAAACGCTGGCGTTATTTATTTTCTCATGCGCTGAAACAGGAAACCTCCAACATGCTGAAGCCCTGGACCCCCGCCAGAGCCAGGGGCACCTCGGCAGCTCAGCGGGAGCAGGGACAAACCGGTGTAAACTGCACGGGACAAACTGGTGTAAACTGGGAGAACACTTCTGAAGGCGGCAGCTTTGGCCTGCAGCCCTTTACCACCGGCTTTTCTCAGCCCCCTGCTCTGGAAACACCCAGGCGAGCCGGACACCTCCTGCACACCAGGACAGCAGCACGTCCCTGCTAGCCACCAGCAGCCCGGGGCAGCCCAGCACCATTTGGCTCCCCAGCACCAGCACTGCAAGGGCCACGTGCCCTCGATGGAGGGCAAGCACCTCCTGGATGCGGGGACACGATGCACCCGCGGCCATCTCCCTGCTCCTCCACCCCAAGCCGAAAGGGAGGTGGCAAAACCTCCAGAAGAGCCCAGCCCGGGGCACTTACCCCGTGGTGATGTCGTCGTCCTCCGTCAGGGTCTTCCCCATCAGGTCGCTGTCGCTCATGTAGCCTGATTTCAGCTCCACGTCGTCCGTGTCCAGCGCCTCCACCAGCTCCAGGCGCGAGATGTGGCTCAGCTTGCTGGGGCTGCGCATGGGCATGGTGTGCGAGTAGTGAGCCCGCTCGCCGTGCATGTACCAGCTGGGGGTGCCCTCGGAGCGGCAGCTGCCCCCCACCGAGGGCGCGTCCCCGGCCTGCAGGCGGGGGCTCGACTGCCCGTAGCGCCAGGAGAGCGGCGAGGAGCGGTTGGAGAGGCTGGAGACGCTGCGGGGGTTGGCTTCGTCGCTGTCGTAGCACGTCATCTCCAGGGAGCTGTGAGGACGGGGAGCCGGGTTTAGGGTCGGGGTCGGGGTTAGGGTTAGGTTCTGGCAGACCTCCCTGCCTCTAGGATTTCCCATTTTGTGGGGTCTCTGCCAGCACCGAGCCTCAAGATCCCCCATGCAAACGGTTCAGAGGGACCCAGAGTCTCTCCATCGCTGCATCCCGCCCAGCTCTGCACCTCCATCACCTCGGAGCAGGGGCTGGCAGCAAACACGAGAGGGGCAGCACCTCTGCGTGGCACCAGGGACCAGCCCAGCCCCCCGAGGGTCCTGCTGAACCCCATTAACAGGGAGCTGTCAGGGAAAGCCCAGCTGTGCTGCCCGTGCCAGCGCGCCTCTCCGCAGCCAGCCCAGAGCCGCGAGCGCAGCGGTGCCGGGGAGCTCAGCTACTCCCCGCACCCCTCGGGGTGTATTTCGGGCAAACGGCATGTCAGGGAGTGATGCTGAGGCTAAATTTAGACACCAAAAATGATTACTTCTTGGAGCAGCTACTCGGGAACCCACAGCCCTCCACTTGGCTCCGCACGCTGCTCTCAGGGAGCTATTCCCGAGCCGCGACCGCGCCACGCTTGGACTGAACGCTCCGGCAGCAGCACCAGAAGCCAAAGCCCGGCTGCAGCACGGAATTTAAAAGAGGGAACTGCATAAAAACTAGGAAGTTCGTTCCAGCGGAACTGAAAGGGGCAGCTAAAAGGGTGCATTTTTTGTAGGAAGCACAAAGGCTATTTAAAGATGTTGTGCTGGCAGCTCGCAGCAGATGCGAGCCACGTCCCCGAGCAGGGTGCAGAAAGCCCCGAGGAAGCTCCCGCGGCCCCGCGGCCAGGCTCAGGGGCTGTCAGAGCACGGTGACATCTTCCAGGAACAAAGCTGCGTCCTAGCACGGGGACAGGAAAGGGTCAAGGCTCCGCTGGATGAAAGAACCCAGCGAGGAGAAGAGGAGAAATGGCAGGAATATTTGTGGAAGGAATAAAACGGAGCGGTAAACCCTTCCCAGGCACGTGGGAGCAGGCAGAGAGCGTGCACCAGGAGGACACCCAGCTGCCAGAGTGCCCCAGGATGAAAGCTGTGACAGATGGGGGGCACTTTTACATCCGTGCTGGCTGTGGGGAGCTGAAAGAGTCCCCACGCCACAGCCCCAGTCCCCAGAGAACCTGCCTCTGGTGCTCCAGGAGGGAAGTGGTGGACTTTGCATCGTGGCCAGCACCACAGAGCCCGAAGTGGCTCCGATTTGAGGAGACCCAGGGTGCCCCCAGAGGACCACAGGTAGCATCTGCATTGGGCACACTTGTAGAAAGTGCTCCCAGGAGCAGAATTAGTGGGTCTGTGTGGTGGTGACAAGCCGTGTGTGGTGGCCCAGCTGTGGGAAGTGCAGCCCGTGTGGTGGGGCTGCTGCGGGTCAGTGAGCTCTCCCACCAAATGCAGCCTCCAAATAAACTCATCTGTCACAGGGTAAGAGGGAAAGCCCTCACGGATGTAAAAACTCCTTACGGGACAGAAAGCAGGGACAGGCTTCCCTGGGCTGCTCCCACCAGTTACCCGTGGTCCATTTTCTCCACGGCAGGGATGGGGCTGAGGCTCAGCCGTGGGCTGGGTGCACAAATCATCAAGGAAAGGAGGTGATGGCGAAGAGACAAAACCCACCAGCAATACTAATTTAATCGCCCTTAATATCCTTGCCCTATTTCCCTAAGACAGGGGCTGACAGAGGATTTGCTCAGGAGCCGCTGAGCCGAGCAGCGCGCCGAGGAAGCAGCGGATGAAATTTGACACAGATGAATGCAAAGCAAATGCAAAGCAGCCCTGACTCGGCGTGAGCAGCGCCAGGCTGCAAACAGGCTCCTACACCGAGCGAAGAGATTGCAGAGCTGCAATGGATAATTCCAGGAAATCATCAGCTCGGGGAATATTGCCACGGCCCCCATGGAAATCCCAGTGCCCGAGCGCTCTGCTCCCTCCAGCTCAGAGGTCTGGGAAGTGGGGTGAGGATGATGAAGGTCTTGGCAAGCTTCTGGGTGATAAAGGGCTTTATAGAGGGGGTTCTGCAGCCCAGACAAAGCCGGCTGGGGGTGGGGGGCACAGGGGAGCTCTGTGACTGCCAGTGGTGGGTGAGGGGGGGCCAGGAAGCCCCTGGAAGGTCCAGCAGGTTCTCGCCCCTTCCAGCACAAAACCAAGCACGCAGCGAGGCCACGAGGTGGCAACAAACACCCAGTGAAGGACGCACAGCTCCTCGCTCCCCGGCCTCGCCGACACCCGGCGCAGTCGCCCTGCAGAGCCCAGGCTGGGCACGGGGCTGGAGCTGCTGGGCAGAGCCTGAGCGCATCCAGAGCACAGCAGCAATCAGCAGGGACCCCAGGGGCACTCTGCTGGCCCCGGACACGTGTCAGAGACACAAACGCAGCCCCAAGAGCCCGCGTGTACATGTAGGTCCCCCCCCGGGGCCATGGGGTGCAGCCAGAGCCCTCTCCCAGCCTGGGACCCCCAAGGGAAGGATGCTGGTTGTGGGGGGTGCTGGGGCCTCACCTGTGCGACACCTGGGAGCCCCGCAGGCTGGACATGGTCTCCTCCAGGTTCTGCCGAAGGTCCAGCACATTCTGCACTGTCCTCTTCCTCTGGGACTCGGGGTCTGCGAGGGGACAAGGAGGTGGCATTAACGGGATGAAACACCTCCGAGCGCGGCTTTCCCAACCAGGGCCCTCCCCAGGTCCCACTCTGCCACCAGGAGGGGACAGGGCAGGGCCCCCACGCTGGACCCAGGTGTCGATATCACCTCACGGCCACCAAACGCCACCGCCCCGGGTGCTGTGGCCAGGAGCAAGGGCAGAGGGACCAGAAGCAGGGACACCGAGGCCTGAGGTGACCCCAGGCATCCCCACGCAGCAGGGCCAGGACCCTGCTGGGACGGGGACATCTGCTCCAAAAACACCACGCTGGGAGCACGTTCACACCTGCACACACCCCCTAACGGACCCGCATGCGTGCTCACATACCCAAAAGTGTGTGCACACACACCTGGAGACCCCCCTGCATGTGAACACACACACTCGTGTCCATGCACACGGCCGGGGGGTCCCTGCGCCCTTTCCATGGCAGCTGCTGCTGGGCTTGGGGCACGGCTCCAGCCTTCCTGCAGGTCCCGTCGGGTAACAGCCGTGCCCGCGCAGCTTTGATCCCCGATTTCAAGCCTTTCAGCCGTGGCCACGGCGTGCCATTGAACCGTGGTGACAGCTTAAAGGGCAGCGGGCGCGAGGGGACGCTGGAGGCGGCTCCTCCTAACGCGCCGTGGCACCCAGCACTGCGGGAGAGCTGCAGGGGCTGGGGGGACACCCCCAGCACAACCCCCCGGCAACGACACCAAGGCCACGTGTCCAGCACGCGAGCAGAGCCCGCGTCCCCTTGTCCCTGTCACAAGCTGGGCACCTCCCTGGGCACCTCCCCGGGCACCGCAGGCAGAGCCCACGCGCCCCGCTGCAAAGCATCGCTGATCTCCGCGTGGAAGGTGGTGATGATGAGCACCAGCAGCCCCGATGAGACGGGTGAAATGAAGCAGGTTCACGCCTGCAGCACAAAGGGTGAGCTCCAGCAGAGCTCCTGGCCGGGGCCGGGCAGGCGGGGGGCACCCAGCACCGCTCACACCCACGGGAGAGCGGGGACGGGGATGGGGATGTGCGGGCAGCGAAGGGCGCAGGGGTGCGGGGCTGCCAGCTCAGCAGCGGCTCCCTCCCAAAAACGCTCGGCTGCCTCCCCATGTGGCCATTCCCACTGGCCCCAAGCCAGCACAGGGCTGGCGCTGCCTCCTGCGGGGCTGGCCACGCGAGCACGCGCTGCGTCCCCAGCCGTGCTGTGAGCCCACAGGGTCCCAGTTTCAGGGTGCTGGCACTGACTCCGCTCCCCAGCTTCTCCCAGCCTGATCCCCACTCCAGCCACCCCACCCCCACCTCCCCTGGCACAGTTCGCTCCCCAAATTTTTGGCCGGCCATCCGGAGGTCGCTCCAACCTCTGGAGATGCTGCGGGAAAAGCTGCAGCTTTCACCTGGGAGAGATCCAGCCCCCGGGAGCTGCTCTCCCACCTCTGCACACACCCCAGCCGGCACCGAGGTGCCACAGTGTGCGGGCAGGGGCGGTGGCACCACCGGGCAGCGGGGTCCCTCTCCCAGGTGAGCGGGGCTGGCCGAGCCACTGCGTGCCAGAGCCGAACCGAAACCGGAGCTGCCGGGAGAGGTTGGAGTGTGGGAACGGGGCTGGATTCCTCCCCTCATCGATTTAGCAAGCCTGCTGCAGCCAGATGGTTCCAGCTGCCGGCTCAGGGAGCAGCGGGTCAGACAGACATCCCACCTCGGCTGGGCTGGCTTCCCCGGCAGTGACGTGTCCCGCCGTGTCCCCTGCTCGGCCGGGGCCGCGTTTTCGGGGCCGTTTCCTCCACCCCAGCTCTGGAGCACAGCCCCGCCGGCAGCCCCTGGCTGCTCTCTCGGGCTCTGTCCCACTGCAGCCCCCGGCTGAGCACCCCCCAACCCCGCCGTGCCGAGGAGGTGCCCCAGGCACTGTCCCCAAATGCTGCGTCCTGCGGCCACACTTGAGCAGCTCTCCTCGCCCCACTGCAGCTCCATCCCTCGCCTGAGCACCCTCAGCTCCCTCCGTCAGCGAGCAAAATTCGGCTGATTCACAGGAGGGGAAACTGAGGCAGGAAGCCTCGATCCTCCCCCCAGCTGACCCAGCCGCCCTTCCACCCGGCATGCCGTGCCTGGCGCGGGGCTGCCACCTTTCCCACCTGCCCAAGAAGGGCTCCAACACGTCCTCACACTGCAGACGTGGCCAAGTACGTCAGGGAATGAGGAGCCCATCAGCTCCCAGAAGCTCGTGACAGCTCCTTGCAAAGGAGCATGTGGCCAACACCTCCCGCTGGGGCCAGGCAGCTCCGCGGAGTGGGACACGTGTGCCCCATGTGCCTTGGCAGGGAAACCCAGGGGGGTGCGCGCGCTGCCCGAGAGCTCGACAGCATCGTGCGCGTGCTCATGGGGGGGCCACGTGGCAGCAGGAGCCGTGCGGCCGTGGGGAGGTTTGTGTGTGTGTGTGTGTGTGTGTGCACCCCTGTGACCGTGCAGGCGTGCACGCACCAGGACGGCGGCAGCAGAGGGGCGCTTGCCGGGCTGGCACGGGATGCTGGTGCCGGTGTGGCACTCACACGTGGGCATTTTCTTGCCCCCGAGCCACCCTGAGCGGTCTCGTTCCAGAACAGGCTGGGAACGGACTCCTGGTGACCCGGCGAGGTTTTGCACGGCAAGCAGGAATTTCCTATAAAAGGCCTCGCCGCGCTCGTGAGTCATTCCGGTGGGCCCCTGGTACACAGGAGCTCCAACAATTTTCCCCAGGCCACGAAATGTTTTTACCCATTGCTCAATTCCTTACAGAGTGCTGAAGAAAACGCCAATAAACTCAGCAAGAAAAGCAGCACTCTGGGGGCAGCGAGGTGCCCACAGGCTCCCCAGCCCTGCAGACCCCCGAGCGGACGCGCGCTGCCCTGGGCCGTGCTCCCGGCTGCGCCTCGGGACGCACTGGGGCCATGGGGAGCCTGCCCGAGCCCTCCTGCCCCTGCCCACGCTGCCTCCAGCCTCCTTTTTTGCTGCGTTTTCCTTGCAAACCCTCTGCTCCAGCACCCGGAGCCCACTGCAGCTGAGGAAGGAGAGCCCAAGACCAGGTTCAAGACCCAAACCTCCCCAGCCTGCAGCATGCACATCGGTTCCCCTGGCGTGGCCTGCTGACAGCAGAGGCTTTCCATATGGAGGCCGATGGCTTTATCTCAGTTTTCTTGCAGCTCTGATTCACGCTCCTGGACGGCCGGGCAGGGGGATGGTCACACCGTGCAACCCTTCTCCCTGCGGTTTAATTAAGCCTTCCTTCCCCCCACGGCCACCCAGCGGGCGGTGGAGATCGCTAACGGGACTCTGCGGGGTAACTGCCAGATCCCCAGGGTTTGCATCCACCCCGCGTCTCTCGTCGGGCTGGATCCTTCTGCACAAAACCGTGGCTCTGCAGGAGGCTCCAAAGGCAGCCCCATGCCCTGCAAGGACGCACTGTACCTATAACAGCTGTCCCCATAACCAGGGCTGTCCCCATAGGGCCATTCTCCCCTCCCAGAGCAGCCCCGCAGCGCACACAGGGGCCGTCGGCTCCCCGCTGGCAGGCGAGAGCAGAAAATCAGCAGCAGCGCAGCGGTGACAGGCCAGGACTTCAGCCGAATCAGCACTTCTGGGGCGAGGGCTGCTGCTAAGCCTTGTGAATCGCTTCTCCTAATGAGGGCAGGGCTGGGAGACCTGGAGCCTGAACCCGGTCTGGCTCCAGCAAGCCAAGCTTTTAAAAGGGATTCAGACTTTCTCAGGCTAGAGCAGCCATAAATCTAGTTAATTGGGTCTCTCCCATACACTACTTTCCAAGTGAACCCGCTGGAGAGATCCAGCCTGGGCCCCCAGCCCATTTGCGGGTTTCTTTCAATGGATGCTGCGCTTGGCCCCGAAGCACCCCACCTGCGCATCCAAATCGCAGCTCCTTTTTCTTTCACGACAGCTTCAAGCTGCTCAGCACGTCCCACCTCCACGCCTCGCTCCGTGCCTCCACACCAGGAGCCAGCACCTGGGGTGCCCCAAATCCCCCTGCCGGGGCAGACCCTGGCGGTGCCATCAGGGACACCAGGACCCTGATGGCACCGCCTGCCCGCCCTGGGACGCACGCGCTGCAAGTGTCCCCAGCCCGGTGCCCTGCAGAGCAGGGTTCGTCCACACATGCGTCACTCTGTGCCTCAGTTTCCCCCCTCCCTGGATTCGCTGTCCCCTTGGGGCACCGGTATTTGTGTGTGTGAGCGTCGGGCTGCCCCGCGCATCCCCTGGCTTAGCAACGCGCAGCCCTGGGATTTCAGGTGCGACACGCTGCCTGTGACAGCCACCAGCACACGCTCGAGGGGATGCTGCAGACCCTAGGCAAAAAGGAAATAAAAAGGAACAGAACGGGGGGGACAAAAGCAAAAAGAAAAACCTCGAGGCAGAAGGTGCGGGTGGGCCTGGGGGCCCCGGAGCAGCCGGCAGCAGCAGGTTCACGCTCCCCACACGTCACGAGACACGGGGCGGACATTGTGGAAATTCAAAATTCCAGATGGCTCTTTGGGCTTTTTTTTTTTTTTTCTGTCTCATTTCCAAGGCAACAAGACTCGCTGTCATCTGCCAGTTGCCATAGCGATTTCACCTGATTCTGCTTCAGCAGCGCAGCGGAAGAGAAAGCCGGGCGAGCCGAGCTCTCTGCTGCCGCGGAGCCGCGAGCTGGGGCGCGTTCAAAGTTCCTGGGGAGAGCAGGAGATAAATGGGGCTTTATCCGAGGAGGCAATGGGCTGATTCACGGGATCAAAGGAAGGAACTGCGGGTTTCTGTAGCACAAACCAGCCCTTCACTTAACTGCTTCGACGCCCTCCAGATGCGCCGCACATCTGGGGACGTCGCCGCGCCCTGCGCCGAGCTCTGCCTGGTGGAGGAAGGGGTTTGGGTGCCGGGGGTCCTGCGCCCGCTTCTGGCTGGGTCTCAAGGACCGAGCTGGGCTCCTGCAGCGATCCGAGAGCTGGTCCATCACGCACAGCCACCCCCT